TTGCTTTTACAAACGAAATAGTCTGAAAAGAGGTGGCGCCATCTGTTATTAAAGAAATTAACTAACTAACAAAATTCGGTAGATCGCCAGTTGGCACAATACCCATTAATTGTTTATTTATTTCCAGATTTTTAATGCATAAGTTTCTTTCTTGGATTTTTAATAAAATGCGACGATATTTTAAAACTGCCATATTTTTGCACCACTTTATTTTCTACCGTAATGTGTTAGAACTTCGGTGTTTTCTCCTTGCTTTCTTTTCTCCCACGATGTTTTGCATGTCACGTTTTGCCCTCGCATTATTTTCCCTTCACACACACTACTACTTAAGTTTTCATTGAACAAATTTTAGAACTTAAAGATACTGTTCTAATCATAATACCAAAAGTATTTTAAAAGGAAATAGAAATTTTATGAGAAAGGGAAAATCTGTAAGAGCGATATTATTTACATTTTTAGAGCGGTAGAATTATTCAGCGAAATAACAATTAAATGTATAACATGCAAATCCACATATATTCAAACACGTGTGTGGTACACACATGCGTAGGTTGGCTTTTATCGCTTGTGTACTCGAAAGTACGGTAATTCTACTCCATTTCGATAGTCTGCGAATAATCAGAAAGTACCGGCTTTTTTTTTCACTTGCAGATTTCCCTATCCTTCAGAATTTATCAGCTTTGGTTACTTATTTCATTCCTGATTTTCTAAAGATCATATCTTATGAGTAAACTACTTTATTTCATATTTCCTTCTATAGATGGCGCTACAACTATTACTTTCTTTTATTTATATATGTCTCATCTAACTTTTTTCCGGTAAAATGTTTTTCCTCTTTGAAACTGCGCAATTCTTTATGCATAGAACATTTTTTGAATAATCAGTATCAACATAAGCCTGAATTTTGCCCAATTGTAAAATTTAAGTTTGCTTGCTTCTATCCCATTTTCCATTGCTTGCTTCTATCCCATATCTCTGAATTTTGCATACTTGAATTCTTAGTAAACGATCTTGGGATTTATAGTTTTTCATGCTATGCAATCGACCCATAGAACGAAGTTAAATGTAGCATTTAACAAAGAGCTCATGCAGGTGAAAATTCCTCCTCCCATTTTTAAAACCTTGTTTATTATCTGTCTTCAAAGAGAGATTATTTTCAACACTTAATATTCAGCGCATTTATACTTGAGCGTAGGAATACTTTCCGTAAATTATGTAACCCTTTAATGAAGCTAGTAAAGTTCGAGACGAAAAGGGGGCGAGTTGCAATCCCTGGATGCATGCAGAATGATCGTCTGCCTGTTGCTCTTTCAGTAATATGCAAATCACGATATCCTCTTTTGCCACACAGCTTGTGGGATTCCATGCCATGAAATGTTAAGACTAGAACAACTTACTTAAACAGCCACGTTTAACGTGGTTATTCATCACCATCAAATTAAAAGTTCTTTGAAACAAAATTTATGAGGTTTTAGTCCCAAGGTGGCATCTTTGATGTAAGGATTTGCTGAAATTTCTATATTACTGCCAAGGTTTTTCGTTTTGGCCGATAATAACAGTTGAATTCTTTTTTTTTACTGGTATGCAATATTCTTTTTAATTTGGGGGGGGGGGGGGAAGTGGTATTTAATAAATATTTAAAATTCTTACTTTAAGGACTGAAATATATATTGGTACAAGGTAAATGAGTACTGAGAATTTATTTTCTCACTGTGGGTTAACTTTTTCCGTTTGTAAGATGAACAGTGATGGTAGAACGGCTACATTTGTGGAATACTGGTAGTTCCTTCTAGAATTTGTTTTATAGTGGCTATTTGCATGGATTTTGGTGTTTTTTGCTTATGCATAGCATTAATAAATTTTGCTGTTTTTGCTTAGGAGTCAGCTTTCCTCAAAAAATATTTGGTAACGGTGAAGTATGCGATCTACCGCTTTTAGTTAGTTATTTTAAATAGATAGTTTTATGTTTGGCCTGGGCCGGCTAGAATACGATCATCGAACCGTAAATAACCAAAAAATCTTAGTCACTCCTGTAGACGGTACTAATGCTCAAACTATTAAACCATGCTGGGAGGTACTGAAGTTAAACATTCACAACAGAAATGTTTCACATTATCTCGCAGAAGCACTGTAAAATCTGAAAAGAAATTTGACGGTCATAATTTGGCCATACTGCGCGGTGTTCGCAATTTGTGTGACTGAATAACTCACAAAAATGGCCCTATTAAAGATCACTTCTGTTTTTATTTTGTAAAAATAAAATAAACTTAAATTAGATGGAATTAAAAATTATTCATCTTTATTTTCATATTTAAGAATAACGTTTTAGAAGCGCCATCTCAGAAATAAATAACTAGTTAAAAGCAGTAGATCGCATCCTACATCACTGCCAAAAATATTTTACAAATGCACCTCTCCTTAATTAGATAGCCATCATATATGCTTGCTATAATAACTTAAGCTAGATTACTTCCAAGATCTGCATCACAGTGAAGTAACTGAGGACTTTTGCGTAACATAACAGCGTAATTTTGATCAATTTTCTTTGTAATCAATTAAATAAATATTCCGCATTATGTGTTTTCTCTCTCTGCGTATTAACTGTCCCACTGGTTAGCTTATCATGGACTGCTGCTGAAAATGAGAAAAGCCCGACGAACTACAAATGCTTAATCGGCAAGTACCTGCGGTTTTAAAAAAAAAAAATCATTAATCATCTAGATAAATAAGGAAATTTCATATAAGAAAGTGTTACTGAGTGATAATAATTTTAATCAACTAAAGATAGTTAACAAGAGAATAATTTTTGTCGTCTTAGTTAACCGTCTTAAATGTAAAAATATATATATATATACATATCTATATATTATATATATATATATATATAAATTGAAAAAATGGAATCTGAAAGCTTTTAGATTTTACACTACGTCAAAAGGGACGTTTTTTTCATTTACACACACATTCACGTTTTAACCCTTATCGGCACGCTACCTTTTAAAGTCGGAGTTTTGATTTAAAAAAAAAAGGTAGGCAGTCTAATTAGGCGTAGTAAAATTAGACTGCCTACCTTAAAGTAAAATTTTGTGAAGATAGCAGTTATCGTTTTAATTCTGTGGGTGTGCCCAAAGTGGCACACTGATTGAATAGAGCTTCGAAAAGAGTGCTGAAACGAGCATTGTTGTAATGAACTGACCGATGATGGCGGAGAAACAAAGAATACAGACTCTCAGTTTGTCCTAGATTATCGGTGAGCCCGGTCTGGGCACACCTAAGGTTCGCCGTTTGATTTTAGGCAAGATTTCAAGGTAAAAATTTAAAACTAATACAGAATAAGGAAACAGCCAAAAAATAAAATAGACATTTCTTTTCAAACAATTCCTTTTATACCCTAAAAAATTAGGAAGATTTCTTAAAAAATGAGGGCCTTAAAAAACTAAACATGGCTAAAATATATGGACTGGTTTGTATTGAGCTGCCATCTACTATAAATAAAGAACGTTCAGAGTAACCTATAGTAACTTATAAATCCTTTTTCATTCAATTTTTCTGTGCGTAGAGAAGGAAATGTTTAGGTGTGTCCACACCAGACACACTGTGCCGCAAAGGGTTAAGAGCCGTTCCAGAGCATTTGGGCTAAAAATATTTCAAAACAGCATATCTTTAGAATTTTCAATAGACAGACTAGCGTATTCGAGATAAAAATGTTTTATTCTGTAGAATATTGCTCGCTTTGAAATCGTGGAGATTTTTAATCAAAAATTCATTTAAAGTTTTACAAAATGTGAAATATAAAATAAACCAAATTCAAAATTCAGGCTTCGAGGTGCCAATGTTCGGGAGGATGTAACGTCTGAACACCAAGTGTTGGGTAAAAGAAAAGAACAGTTGTCTTTTAAATATTTATTTAGAAAACTTAGTAAGAATTTCTTAATTACTATTAATTAACATATTCAACCATTACAGTCATAATTCACACAATGGCCGCTGGACTGCGTCTTCTTCCGAGTCTTTCACTACATAAAAAACTCACACAAAAAGCGTTTTGTTAAAAGTTATCGAAAGTACCTGGAATGGCGTAATTACTAATTCCCTTATGTCCGGAAACCGCACCAGGTAATTTCCGCAACACCTATTCTCAAAGTTCTGACTGATGATTAGTCTTTGAACAAAACAGGAAGTTCTTCTCATTAAGCACCTGTGTATCAGAGGGGTGCATATGTTACAAGGATTACGTCATTCAATATTTGATGACTCTAGGTACCGTTGTTTTTAAACGGTGCGAGAAACATGGATATATGCATGTAGGTCTTCATTATTTAATTTCTTTAAATATAATACAAGGCGATAATATTGGGTGACAACAATTTGAAAAGTGATCATACGCGTTTAGTGATCCAACGCAGAATGACTTTTTGAGATTAATAGACCTTCTGGGCTAAGGCACCTTTGGGCTAATCAGTTGTTAATAATTTTTTCTTTCTCTAAAAGCTAAAAACTGAATTCTCACTCATGCTATAATTCTGCCATATTTAAACGCAAATTACTTATATGCTTGAAGCAAAATTATTTGTAGTGATTGAAATTAAATAAGTAATTTGAATTTTTTTAATTAAATTGAGTTATTTGAACTAAAATTCCTAATTATTTAAACAAAGGGAAAAGAAATCAAAGCTTTCTGCATTTATGTGCAGATTTGTTTCCTTCACTTTCGCATGCTATGTAGCTTAGTTGAAAAATAGTGGCAATCCATCCATTTGCTTTTTAATTTTTGTTTTACAATCCTTTTTATTTCTTAGCTTTATTAATTAAATCGAAACTAGTACCACGGCTGCTTGTAACAAATGCATAAAAAATCGTTATTTAAAGCTCGCATGGGGAAAAAAGGGGTTAAAAATATATTATATATAGGATTAGCATCCAGCGTTGTGTTTGGTTGTGATTGTACCATTGCAACGGTATGTTTCTTTGTTCTGAAAAGCCTGCTGTCTTATGCCCAGTGCACCGCCAGCTGCAACCGACATGGTTTCCAGAGCCGAATTCTTCAGTGCGTCTGGTATGGGAGCACACGGCCAGCTGGCAATGCCTGCCGTGACCAACAAAGGCCTGTAGTCATGCGGCCCTGCAAGAGCCCGCCATGCCAATCGAGTGAGTAAGTGCTTGCTCTGTAGTTTAGAATATATTCGCGACTGTTTTGTGTTTGTGATATGATTAACAATTTTCTTGACTGGTGATTTTCTTGATGATATCATTTGGTGGTGTAACTTTTAACAAAACAAATTTATTGACGCCTTAGTTAATGCACTTGTATGTTATAAATAAAGAATAGGCTTAACGATCTAATTCTAGGTTTACCAGTTTTTCTTGAAAAATAACCAATTATATCCCAAACCTAAACTATTTATAGTAGTTTTTAAATTGGTATTTTAAATGATCATGTCAACAGCAGATTTTACTGCAATATCTGCAAGCTCGTTTCCCTTTATTCCCGCATGCCCGGGAATCCAGCAGTACAGGATTTTATATTCTCGAATCGTTAATTTATATGAATCTTGAGAGCATCCACTACCACAGGATTCTGAGTGTTGGGAAAAGCTTCCAACGATTTAAGAACACTATACGAGTCTGTATAAACTATGAACTTTTTGTGGCAGAGCTTTGAGATGTACAAAAGACCATAAAGACCATAATATATTGCAGTTAGTTCAGATGTTAGGACTGAAAATGCTTGGTGCAAGCATCTGCCCTCTATGTGATCTTCAATTACAAATGCCATCCCAACATGAACATTTGACGTGGATCCATCTGTATATAACTGTTATATTCATGCCTGTGCTCAGCAAAGAGTTGTCTACAAACTATGTCGTTAGTGCTTCCCTTCACGTGATGGTTGAAAACATCAAGAAGCTGAATCCGTGCATTTTCCCAAGTTCAAAATTCTGCACTGCTTGGGGGCACGTATCAGAGAGGGAAAGTTCCTCAATGATAGGGCGAACTCTTAAAGGAAAGGTAGGAACACAGGATGGACGTGTTTCAAATAAATGTGTTACACTCATTATCAAGTAAGCACAGCTTATTGGGATGTTCAGGTTTGGGATAGAATATTAAAATATTGCAAAAGGGACAATTGCTCACGCCTCAGATAAAGTGATGGTTCGTTAGAGTCAACATACAGGCTCTGGACAGGAGAAGTCCTGAAAGCTCCTGAACAAATCCGCAGAGCTTGATGGTGAACAGGATCAGTTTTAACAAAAACTGATGACCGAGCGGATCCATAAACAACTGAGCCATAGTCCAGTCTAGGGTGGACAAGAGCTCTGTAAATGCGAAGCATAGAGCAACGCTCTGTACCCCAGGAGGTGTTCGCCAACACTTTTAAAATATTTAGAGTTTTTAAACACTTCTTTCTCGGGTTTAAAACATGAGAAAGGAAAGTTAATTTTCGGTCGAACGTAACTCCCAGAAATTTTACTTCAGGCGCAACTGGAATATTTGTACCATTCAAATATAACTCAGGCCTAATTAGGCATGAAATATGGAGACTGAGAGGAGTATTTAGTATTTAAGATGCATCAGAACCACCTTTTATGCAAAAGTATTTTAATTAAATATTAAGTTAGTTGCAATATTTAGTTCGAAACTGAACATCTAGATCCCTAATTACATCGAAATACTTATTAATCCTGAATGAAATACAGATTTGCTGTCCAATGCGTAACTCTTCGCACTGTTTGAATTAATTATGCTCTATCAAATCTAAGACAACATTTTTATACATTGCATTTAATGTCAGTTATCTTAATGCACTGAGCAACAAAATTCATGGGATTCATACTCTTATTAGTAGCTTTTGAACGTAATGAGAGTTAAATAAAATTTTCTCAAATTGCTCTTATATTTAATTAATAATATCCGTAACAATGGTTGCATTATATAAAGTAAACAATTTAGGTTTCTTCTTAATAGATGTTGTTTTAATCAGAATTAATTATCTCTTTTCTCTTTCCCCATTTCCACTCCTTTTTAAATCGATTTATACTAGTAGTCACTACTTTATCATAAAGAAGTAAAGCATGTTTTTCCTACATTTTTATTTCTTTTAAATATTAAATTAAATTTCACTTTTATGAACAATAAACAAGTTTAAATTGCATTTAAGTGAATAATAAATTTCCTTATTTATTTGCTTAAAATTAATCCAGTAGCTTTATTTTTAATAGTTGTCTTATTCTACTAGTTCATTGAAGGTAAGTATTAACTTTTCCGTTCTAAATTAATTACCTTGTTCATATTAACGATTATTATATATAAAGCAAAGAATAACATTCGTTGAACAAAATATCAAAGTAACGAACACAAAACAATATTCTTTGGAAACTATACTTTTGATTTACAAGGCAGAATTAACTTTTTAATTTGTTCTTTTAAAAAGTATTAATATTCTAATTACCGTCCAACGAAATTCAAATATATTCTTCTTTTCTTTTCTTCGGAAGACCTGATACAAATTTTTTTTGCAAATTTTTGCTTCTTTGTGAATAAAACACCAAAAGTGTTTTACAGTGTTGATTAAAGTTTTCCAAAGTAGCCCCCCCCCAAAGTTGTCGGTGTTAAATCAGCTATCTTAAATCACCCCTTAGAAAAGTCAACTACAGGCATTAAACCTTCCACTATAACTCATGTCATATGTAAATGCTGTTTGAAACCGTAGTGAAAGCCAGTGCCATAGCTAAGTGCTTTCTCTCACATCTTCAAACTAATCAAAAAAAAATTGGCATCGGTTATTTGATTAGAACATTAGTTAAAAAACTCTGTAAAAATACTTCCAACTTTCAGGCTACAAAAAACTCAGTCGATAAACAGTTTATTCTCTTTGCCATACTAGAAGATGTTTTCAGTTTTGAAAACCTTATGAACCATATCTAGTAAACTTTACAAATTTTATGTGTTTTATATGGAATGAGAATGAATTGTCCCATAAGATAAATGAGCTTCGGGACTTCATAAATTAATATTTTCTCCATTATAACCCTATAACACAAGCTTAACCAGATACTGCCAACTTTGTGCCTAATTATTCTGTCTGTATAACCAAACGATCCACAAATCATAGTACTCTCTGTCTACGAGAAGTACAGCTCCCGTCACAGTGTCTGGCGGGTGGCGGCCGCTATAGCAACAGGGCTAGCATATTTCAAATAGGGGCTAGTCAAGGGTTGTTTTATTGTTATTTAGTTTTTGGCGATTGTTGGCTGAGGGGAAAACAGTTTATCATTCGTCTTCAAGACACCCCTACGGAAAATGGGTCAAGGCTCGTTTCTAAGGCAATAGACAGCTGCAGACCAATTGGCGAGAGCTTTTCTTATGATAGATAGACTGTAGATCCAGAAAAGGCGGACCTGCACTCCTTATCAAACGCTGCATTCCCGATTACGCCAAAACAATTCCACAACTTTCAGTCGTTGATGCTTCAGCTATTTTATTCCCAGCAAACACATCTTATGACATACGTATTTGTCTCCACCTGAACCCCTTCAAATAGTAACATTCCAGTTGCCATTGCTGATTCTGAAATATTAGCATCACTTAACAGTCGTGTCATCATAGGTGAAGACGTATATGCACGACATCACACGTGGAACTGCTATAATTTTAATAACACTGGACGCGCAAAATTTCACTTGGCCTACTCGGCTGTTTTACGTATAGCAGCTCCGAAACCTCCAACTAGTACTAGGCCCAGTGGAATTCTTAATTACTTCTTTTATAGAAATACCAGTCATCCAATGGATAGTTCGGTTTTGAATGAATACTTACTATGACTTTCCTGATCATAATTCGGTCAGAATTATCAGGGACATCAGCTGCTGTATCACATCAGACAAAAGAGTCATTTTCAATGACTGACATAAATTCTACAAAGCTCACAATAACTTACACCGTACTAACAATATACTAAGAAAGTAGTGCTGACAGTTAATCAAAGAACTAACCGAATAAATCATAAAGTCTAATAAAAGTAGAAATAAGAGCAAGAATGTCAAGCCCCAAAGAATCCTGGAATTACAGCAAGTTCTGAAGAAAAGAAATGCAAGAAAGCAATTTTAAAGAACATGGCATCCTGCTTATCAAAAAAGACTAAATCAACTGCATAAGGCTATCAGGTCTCGTACCGTTGTCCAGGAAACTACCTACATTCGCGCTGCGCAGATGATAACTTCATATACAAAGGTTTCTGTAAGTACAAATGCCACAATAAAATTCCGCTCTTAAATTTTGCGTTAAGAACATGCATGACACAACTGGACATCAATTTTCTGTTTTTCATTCCAATTACACAAAAAAACCACACACAAACAACATTTTTCCAGCCCTTCTATCAAAAGTTCTTGGTTACAGTCAAAGGCTTACTGTGAAGCAAAGCCCTGGAATAGATCACATTTCCAACAAAATTATCAATCTCCTCTTCATCAAAGTAATTTTTAAACTTAGGAAGATCTTCATCCTGATCTTTGGATAGCAACATTTCCGTGAATAGTAAACACCTACTATAATGACAAGTTCGCAAAACTTAATAAGCGAGCTTCTGCCCCGGAGTCGTATAGACCCATCAGCTTGCTACCTTGAATTAGCAAAAGCATGGAAGCCGTAATCCCTACCGGAATTCACTAGCATCTCGACGCCAACATCATCATCATCATTCTGTATCAGTTCGGCTTTCGGAAGCAACTGTCAACATGAAACCAATTATTTGGATTTATGAGGGAATCAAAGCAAGAAAATAGCATAAATCTTTTTTTAGTTTTTATATAGTAAGCCTAATGATCACGTTTGATTGATTGCACTCATAGCACAAAATACTACACAGTCTGTGCTTCCCAGATTACATAACAACCATAATTAAACCTTCAGCGTTTGCGAAATTAAACAATGCTTTCTTCTTAAATACGCGTGATATGTGTCAGCCATAAATTTATAATGAGAACTGTGTTCATTTTCCCACACCAAGGAGCGTAAATGGAATGCGAGCTGAGCTCATTGATGACCATCAAAAGTTTAAACGCTATCTGACAGGTAGCACTTTGTCTTTCATATATCTGGCATATATACAACCTACCGAGCTATATCAGCCAGTGTACCACAAGGGTTGCTATTAGGGCCCACGGTCTTCGACATTTATGTGAATGGCATTCCGTGCCTGCCCAACACTACACTTACAATGTACGCTGACAGCGATCCTTTCTCAAAGTGCATTCTTTAATGCAATCACCCAGCACTTACAGAACCACATATACACATTGGAGACCCGGCTAGGAAATTGGACAATTCGAATCGCTCTGTTAGCTGCTGCTTTGTTACCTAATTATCGATGGTTTAAAAGCATGGAATATTAAGCGTAATTGTGGAATTTATGCAGGAAAAAAAAGAATTTTTTTTTGAAGATATAATGACATTTAAAAAAATGAAAGAAAAATTAATGTTAACCGTACCAAACTTATTATCTTATTCTCTCGTCTCGAACTCATTGCAAATTCATAATTGTTGGATCTAATGATTTACTTCACTGCATTAAAGCAAGGAATTTTCATAGAATATTATACAGATGTCGGCAATTTTATGCAAGTAGGCAACTGTACGCCAAGCTAAAGATTTTTACATGAGTGTCAACATTGTTGAAGGTTGCTGCAGCACATTTCCGCTTTTATCTCAGGGCACCTTGCTTCTTGACGAGTGGGATTCAGCCTCGTAAAAGGTGCAGGCATCTTTGTGCCATGGAACTCTTTTGACTTGGCGAAAAGCAGGAATTTTGGAAAAGCATACCCGGTACCTTTCCCGAAGTTGCCTGCTTGGTTAGGCAAAACCAGTCCGCCGGACATAGTCTCATAACAACTGAATGGATTCAATAACAAATGCATGTATAGTGGTATTAAGTCATAAAACATTATATTAAACTTTATCTGCGCCACATTTTTAAATAGATTGTGTTTGATGATTTGAAAATCTTCTAAAGGAACTAACTGTATTATTACAGTTTTCTCTTTTCGATTTTCGTTTGCTGTCTGAAATAAATTAGTGGTCAGAAATGTCTCAGATGATGCCCTAACTTCTAGGCATTAGTGTAGCTGGAAACATCTGTGGTTGAATATATGTAACCTCTTAAGAAATTTATTCTTGGTATGTGATCAAAGATTGCCGTAAATTTAAAAAATACACTGGTATCTATTTTGAAAAAACAAATGTATTCTATAAAAAGCTTTTTATACAATTCTGTAATCATGTATCATAAAAATGTATTTCTCCCACAGGTGGAAACAACTGCACTGACCGTTCCAGTTACTGCAGCTTAGCAAAAACCTTACACTTGTGCCGCCTCAGTCGCTACCACCTCCATTGTTGTGACTCGTGCAAGAAACGAGAAAGCAAAGGTTAGATCTCCAATTTGCAACGATCAACTGACTGTAAATTAAATAAACAGACAAAAATAAACTGATTGGAGGAGATTTAATATCTATACATCTATGTATACAAATCCTTGCGAACTCAAAGAGGTTGGTTACCTTATAAGAAATAGGTTTTGAACTAAGGATCCATAAAACATTTCTTCATCACAAGTAAAAACTTGTTAAATGAGGGTTGCCACTAGTGTTTTTGTGTGAAATGTGAAATATGATTTTGTCTATGCATTGAATCCAGTTTAAACAACAGTGACCATTCCTGATAAAGTTACGTAAAATTTTCTAACATGTAACTATTTAAATTTTTAAATTCAATCGAATACATGTACTCAGGTTGATGAATGCCAGAAGTCGAAAGTCATAATTTTAAAATTCTGCTTTCAGAGAATATTCCTCATTTCAAATTATTTACAGTCTAAAGTCATATTTCTATGCACTACTACTTTCTTCATATAGAGCAGATTCATTAATCCTAAGTGCTCAAAAAATTGCATTCCTTCGGCTTTTTGCACCAATTTTAAAGAAGTAAAATTAAAAGGAAAAAAAAATCAAGTATTCCTTTTTCCCTAAAATTAGTGATATAATTTTAAAATATTATAATTCTTGATGACATTACACTAAAATCGTTCTTCCATTACGAAATATACCATTACGAAATTAAAAAATTATATTTAAAATTTTACCTTATGAAGGTTTAGTGTTTTATTCCATGATCTAGTGTTCTTTCGCTTGAAATTTTCAAACTCTGTTACATTTTAGTAACTAAACTGTAAGTATTAACTTTTAATTCAAGGCATTTTATAAATATATTTAATGTGAAGAAATTTTCTTTGATTCATGTAATTAAAAATGCAATTGCAAAGTATGAAAGCAAAAATTTTTAAATATCAAAAATTAGTTTTATAAGCCCTTACATTTACAGTAATTTTGAGTTAAAAACAGCTTAAAAAAAATCTGCCTGACACTTAAAAAGTAAATTTCAGATAACATATTATCATATATATAATTATTTCACTTGCTAAGGGATCATAAAGAATTTTCTAAGAAAAAATAGTTTGATTTTTATCAGAAGAACGAAAGAAATAAATGAGTTCATAAAACTATAAGCAATTTGTTAATCACATGTGTTAGGAGGTGGCAACCCTAGTTTGGACTCAAATCTTGAATGAAGTCTTTTTAGTTTCTGTATGAAAGTGTATTTGTGTTGAATTTGTAAATGTTTCCTGTATTACTCCAATTGTTACTGTTACAAATGGATATCAAAAAGCATATATCTTACTAATTCAGCTATTATTTATCCTTTGTGTAAGTATAAATTTATAATGTGCACTTGAGAATATTCTTTTTTGATTTGGATTGCCAGATTTAGGGCGTGACGTACGACGCATTCAGTTTTTTATAACTTATGAGTGACCTTGAGATTAAACCGAAAATCAATGTTCAGGAACATTCCATAAATTTATAAATTTGAACGCACTAAGCAAAAATTAAACGAAATTAATTAACAAAGCATCAGCCACTCGGTTGGTCACTCGGTTGTATTAAGGTAATTGATGTGATTTAAAGTGATTTGAAAAATGCAAGCTAATCTGAAAGTTCAGCAAAAGTAAGCAACGTTCAGAAGCTGGATCGAGAAAAATATTTCAAGCTTGGTAGAGTAATACAATATGTTTGCATATGCTGTATATGATATTTTTTGTTCTCATGAGCTTATAGAATTACTGACATACCTCACTACTTATAAAAAATATTTAGCATTCCAGAAGATTTTTCCTGTGTGGAAGTATTTCGTAAAATGTATGAGTTGTCTAAGCATTCCATTATCAGTTTAAATTGCGATTTCTTCCGCATTTGAATATACTCCATACTGATATTTTCATTCATGCTTTGTTCGTATAATGCAGAGCCTGAGCAAAAATAAAATTTATTTTGCTGTTTGTGCTTAATTTTTTAGATTAAGTTAAGATTATCTTAGGCGTTGTAATTTCAACCATCTAATTAAATGGTTAAAAATTTTACATGAGGTATTTTAAATTTAGCCATATAATTAAATGGTAAAAGTTTTTACATGCGGTTATACAGACAATCATAGACTAAATTACATACTATTTGAAACATTTTAACTGGCTTCTTAAAAACTTATGTGTTATTGATAATTGAATAAAATAGTAAAATAATCAGAAAGTAAAATAAAATGTAAAAATACTTTCTTTTCTGAGTACAGTGTTAATTTCAGAGAAAAAGAAATTTCTTTTGCTTGAGGAAAAATTGTGATAATTAGTCAGTCAGAACATATCAAAAATGTAAAATACCAAAGCTGTTTATGTTCCATGAAATTCTGCTTTCGCATTTTGTTAAATTTTGATTTATATTAGCGGATGGCTTTAAGCAGTAAATTTTAACTATAGTAAGAGAAATTTTTAAATAGTAGAAATTTGTTCCTGAAAACCTGAAGTGTTCATCAATTTTACTCGCTTGAAATTTAATCCGTGTGATATTAATTACTCTTTAAAAATTTGAAGATAACCATTCATATATAATTCAGAAATTAATAAATCATAATTTACGTATTTTATCATTAAATAATCATTATTTTTTCCATTAGAAACCGGAAAAAAATGAGCACCTGTTTCTTTATTAAAATTTGGTAGTAATTATGTACTTTCATGTTGTTGTTAAACATAATTATTTATGCAACATTTTTTATGCAACTATACGAATTTACTTTTATTTGTCTCATTATTTCTAATCTTTTATCATTCATTTTAGTTTCCTTGAAATAGTTAACAGTTATTATGCGCATTGATAAGGTGTTCAAGCACACGGTTCGTTAGAATCAGGGCTTCTTTTTTTTTTTTTTTTCCTTTTATGTATGTATCATAAAAATGTTATTTTATAGAGAAATAAATGACCAAGAATACATAAAATTCTGATTCTTATCTCCATTTATACAAAAGAGTTCAAATAGTGTTCGAACTAAGTGTTGTTTAAGCAATAAAGCATAAAGAAGTGGTAATATGTTAACCTGTAGAATGTATTAAAACTATCCTTCTTGTTTAAATGTAGAATAATACAAACACTAGAATTAAGTGTTGCTGTGTTTTAATTACTTAAAGTAAAATATTAAATTACAGAATTAGAAACATACATTTCAAGATGTTACTAATAAATATTCACTTTTCATACAAATTAAGATATCATTATAAATATACGGTAAGCCGAAAATGTTTCGTTTCTAATTCAGTTGCATAAACGTAGACATATTTAAAAACCAGAGCTTTTTTTTTTAAGGAAGGGAAGAAAAAAAGGTTTTTCAAAACCAGGAAATTAGATTGAAAATTAAACTATAACTCTTTCTTTATGAGCGATTTATGAAGCGTTATTGTTCTGTATGATAAAACTTACTACTAGCAGCACATTTTGGTATAAGTCAAACTGTCTGTTGTTTAGTTATAAGTAGACGTCATAAAAATCATGTGATGTGTGCTTTGTATTCAGATCAAATAAAAGATTCTTGATGTGTTCTGGTCATTATTACACATTTATGTGTTTGTTATCTTCTGTTATTAACTGCTCTTACGCATTAATACATTTTCAGCAGATAGATGTTCTCAATATGCACCTCTGTTTCTTATTATTTCAATGCCAATGTATACATTCGTGTATATATATATATATATACGGTTGGCAAAAAAGGAATTTTTTTTTTCCGGGAAATAAAACCCAAATTTTTTTCTCTACAAACAATTAGCTTTAATCAGTCAAGTATCATCCATTCTGTTCGATGACCTTTGCCATCTTTTTGGTAATTTCATGATTTCGAGCTCATGAAAAAACTAAGATTTCTGGATTTTATTATGAAAAAACTAAGTGCGATTGTAGGTCATCGTTACACTGAAATTTTTACCATTTAAGATGTTTTGTAAACTTCGAAGTAAATGATCATCCGATTGTGCAAGGTCTGGGCTATATGAGGGAAAGCGGCATCACATCACTTCCCAACCAAGCTCCAGTAATATCGTATGTGTTGCTAAATGTGTGTGAGGTCTCACACTGTCGTGGTGGAACACGATTCCTTAACAATTTGAGAATTCTGGCCTTTTCTCTTTGATTGCTTCTTCCAGTTTCATAAGGTGTTAGCAGCGAAAAACTGAGTTTATCATTTGGTAACTTTGGATTGGAAGCAGCTCAAAATACGCAATACCTTTGTAATCCTATCAAATTGACAGCATGATCTTTGTCTGGCTCAATTTAGCTTTCGATATGATTTGTGTTGATTCATCATATTTGGACCATGATATTTTTCGTTTAATGTAGATGATCTATTTTGTATCACCAGAGATCATTCGTTTCAAAAAAAAGGTCGACTGCATTACGTTTTGAAATGCGTATTGTAAATATTGATTCGTTAAGTGAATTTCATTCATTTCATGCGGAACTCCATTATTGACGAGTCCAAGGTATCTTACGTCATTTATAATTGTTGTGTGTGATACATGTAACATTTCTGTAACCAGTCGCACAGTTATGTGACGGTTCGATTCAGTTATGGCTTTAATTTTGTCATCATCAACTTCAGAACGTTGGTCATCTTCAAACGAAAAATCTCCTGAACGAATTTCTTAAACCAATTCTGAAACATGCATTATTTTAATCAATCAACACTATAAACTTCACATATTTCTTTGTGAGCCTCAGCCGTTTTCTTGCCTTTATACAATTACAAAAAATAATAAAATATGTCGAAAATGTTTATTTTTACACCCCATTTAAAATTGACTGTAAACTAAACAGTTGTAGACAAAACTACACGGAGTTTGTTTCGGTAGTAACCTAAAATTGTCAATTGCTGAATCTCGATAGGAAAAAAATTATAAAGAAGAATAAAAAACGAACATAACGCTATCCACTTAGGCATATAGAAATTATTTTCTTGCCAACGGAATACTGTTTTCACAACTATGCTTTCAGTACAATTGAAGAACCGTCAAGCTCAAAATCATAAAACACTATTTACTCATACAATTATTCATAAACACTATTTATCAATACGCACACCTAATTTTGTTTTTACACAATTCTCTGTACGCCTGCCATTTTCATTTAGCGCGAGCGGGCCAAAATTTGGGTTTCTTAATATTTTTCTTTTAATTCCAGAAAAACGGTTTTTATTTACGGCGTAGTAAAACATACGGCATTTATGTATGGCGCTGCAGAACGAAAGACTCGCTACTGCGAGTAACAGGTCACGTGACTAAATATATTAATTTGTCCTTTGTTTCTAAATTGTGCATATTAGAATTTGGAATTGAAACCGACGTTTCGCATCTTCGGAAGACATTTACTATGTACTTGTATTTCAAAATGGAAAAACAGAAATCTGGGTGAAGTTTGTGCACATATAAATTTATTATACATTTTACTTGTGTAAAAAAACAAGGTCCCTTGACGCAAATGATCGCAACAGAAGATTTTTAATATTTACAGTTTAAATTTAATCAAACAAAATCAAATATGGTGATAATCAAAGTATCGAATCATGTACGAGACACTTAATTCCTTCTATACAACACGCGTCTCAAATCTATAAGAAAGGCTGGTGCAATGGAGAGTCGGAAATGAAGTCAAAAAGCCATGTTACGTTTAGGCGGGACGATAACGCCATCTATTTGGTTATCAAAATAATTTCCACACACTCCCCACCTAAACTCTGTAAATAGTTCACAGAATCTAACAGTTATCAAATTTAAATCAATAACATCAACAAATTGATTCCAACTAAGTAATAACAAATATGTGTTCAAATTCAAATTTTTCAATTAACAGTTAATACAGTCAAATCAATCGATGAATATTCCAAAGCACTATAATAACGAAATAAACAATAATTAAAAATGTATAAAAAACGCAAAATTATAACCATTATGCTATTATTTAAAAGGTCAATGGACCATAGCTATCATATTTATCAATTGTATTTTTCAACACAATTCAGGAAATTTTATTCTCAATCATATGAAATAAAAATAAGTAAATATAAACAACTGAGGCTTCTCCCAGCCGGGCTCGTGATTTTATACCTCCGTGGCCGAGACGGCCTAGGTACAGATCCTACCTAGTAGCTTCACAGGTTTTTCTGCGTCGACCCTCCAAGGGGGAAACATCCTACGATATACCTAACTCCCTAGTAGCCATCTGTACAGCCCTATAGCAGTTATTAGCTATTCATTACAAGTTTGCAAAGGCAGTCATTTCTTCTGATTCTCACACAGCCATTCAATCAGTTAGCTCTGTTGAACACACATTAACACTTGAAAATTTGCAGTGTCAAGAATTCCTGAGAACTGTCACTTTAAAGGGGAAACAAATCGTTCTCCAGTGGGTGCCTGGCTATTGTGGCCTTTGGGGCAATGAACAAGCGGACTTACTTGCAAAAAGAAATGCCAGCTTACTACAGCATCTCAAAATACAGTCATTTTTATTGGGGGATTAAACTGTTTTTAAAAAGTTGATTTACGTCTAATCTCTTACGTCTGTACAGGCTCTCATCGCTCATCGTGGCGGACACCACAAAGTACTAATATCCGACGTTTTTTTTGAGGGGGGGGGTCGTGTGAATTTGAGTATTTATTTGTACCAATATCAATGTGTGGAATAAATTCATTCATTTCTAACAATTCCTTCGTGGTGCTGCATTTTTCACAAAATATAATAAAAGCTGGAAGAATACAGTGAACAAACCAAAAATTTTATTTTTAAAAATATTACATCGTAAAGTAATGGAAGAAGGCTGTCATTAAAATAATATTTAAATTTCTAAAGTTCTCTTTGTTGAAAAAGTTTTCAAAAATATTTTATTGTTTGTGGACTCGACGTACATTTTCAAAATCAAAACTGCGTTACTATCGTCAATGTAACACATATCAAACATTCATCAACAATATTTTATATATGTAAAAATAAAAAAAAAACTTACTATCGAAATCTCAGAATAACATGTATTCTATACGTTTTCGTCTAGAAGTTATCTATTGACAGTAACATAAATTTCATTGATAATACTTTAAAGGCTTATGGAAAGCCTATTATCTGAAATATCTTTTATCGCAAAACATTTGTGTTTCAACACAGAAATTGGAGTATAGTAGAAAAAGGGCAACGAGCTTTGAATGTGGAACAAACTAGCCCCATATATCATTGAGTGAGTTGTCACGAATCAACATTAAATACAAATTATTATATTTCTTGGATCTTAGTGGTCCTAATGGCCTATAGCATCTCTGCGTTTACGGAACTGTTCCCTAAGGAGTTGGCGGTAGTTTTAAAATACAAGCGACAACGCTTCACCAAAAAGGTGGAATACAAACATGTGCATAATAGTACGTAACTTGGATAGAAAGTACTACTATCAGTAACATGTGGAATAAATTCCATTCATTTCCTAACAAATCTTTCACAGTGTTGGATTTTTCACATGCACTGGACCCCCCATTTGCCAGTAGCATGCAGAGCTGCTTTCGATTCGACATGTGATCATACGGTCAACCTTAAAATCGTTCTAGTCTGTTGGACCTTAGAAGCTTCAGTACAGTCAATAACCTGCAATGTTGCTATCGAGTCAGGTTGTATGACTCCTGGAAGTAGGATACCGATTATATTTCACCTTTTAGACTATCACTAGAAATATATATAGAAATCATCTTTGTGTGTGAATTAAACGAATATATGCTGTAATATAAAACCAGTTTAACTCTCACCTACATGAATAAAAGACGCATCCCGAAAGGAGATATGCAAAAGTCTGCGAGACTGGCTTCTTCGAATCAAATTACAGAAATTAAGTATCATGGAACATTTCTACCACAGAGACTACTATCACGTGATTTTTCATATGTATTAAAATTATTGTAAAACTTATGATTACAGCCTATGCTTCCAAATATTGTATTTCCATGAAAATAATCACTATACATGATATCAATCCCCTTGGTTATTTATTTATATTCGTGTATATTCACTCCTAAGTTTCAGAGGTGGTTGACTGCAGTTCACGGATCGCCAAGGAAGTTTCACTAAATTTGTTAAATAATGCGTAATATGTATGTAGGTAAATAATGTACGTAGCGTATTCGGAAACTAAGTACCGTTTCATTCTAGCGCCGTCGCAGCGCTGTGGTAGGCGTCCGCGCATGCGCACTAGTCTTTCTTGTTCACTGACTTTCAATTGTCGCCATTTTGGTTGCTCTATGTTGTGTTTTGAGTTTGCTGTGCACATTCAAAATGTTTAAGACAATTAGTTCTCCCGCTGACTGTGAGATTCGTGCCGTGATTAAATTTTTGAACGCGAGGAATGTTAAACCCGCCGAAATTTATCGTCAAGTGACAGTTTTACGTGAATACTCGATAAGGGTTGGAATGGTGAGAAGTGGGTAAGAATTTTAATGCAGGTCGAACAAATGTCCCCACGCCGAGGCTCGGAGTGGTCGCCTTCTGTTATCACCGATGATTTGGTAAGGAAAGTTGATGAAGCAATTCATGAGA